GCTGGGCTGAGCTGGGCTGAGCTGGGCTGGGCTAGGCTGAGCTGAGATGAGCTGGGGTGGGTTGAGCTGAGCTGGGATGAGCTGGGCTGGGCTGTGCTAAGCTGAGCTGGGCTGAGCTGACCTGGGATGAGCTGGGTTGGGTTGAGCTGAGCTGAGCTGAGCTGGGCTGAGCTGAGCTGGGCTGAGCTGGGCTGAGCTGGGTTGAGCTGGGTTGAGCTGAGCTGAGCTGAGCTGGGCTGAGCTGGGCTGAGCTGGGCTGAGCTGGGCTGAGCTGGGCTGGGCTAGGCTGAGCTGAGATGAGCTGGGGTGTGTTGAGCTGAGCTGGGATGAGCTGGGCTGGGCTGTGCTAAGCTGAGCTAGGCTGAGCTGACCTGGGATGAGCTGGGGTGGGTTGAGCTGAGCTGAGCTGGGCTGGGCTGAGCCGAGCCAGGTTGGGTTGAGCTGAGCTTGGCTAAGCGAGGCTGAGCTAGGCTGAGCTAGGCTGAGCTAGGTTGAGCTGGGTTGGGTTGAGCTGAGCCAGGCTGAGCTGGGCTGAGCCGAGCTGAGCTGAGCTGGGTTAGGTTGAGCTGAGCTGAGCTAAGCTGAGCTGAGATGGGCTGGGCTGGACTGAGCTGCGGTGGGCTGGGCTGAGATGAGCTGGGCTGAGCTGAGCCGGGTTGGGTTGAGCTGAGCTTGGCTGAGCTGGGCTGGGCTGACCTAACCTAACCTAAGCTGAGCTAGGCTTGGTTTAGTTGAGTTGAGCTGACCTGGGCTGGGCAGGGCTGAGCTGGGTTGAGCTGTGGTGAGCTGGGTTGAGCTGTTCTGGGCTGAACTAAGCTGTGCTGAACCGGGCTTAGCTGTGCTGGGCTTGGCTGCATTGAGCCAAGATGGTCTTAGATTATCTGAGCTCAGCAGGGCTGAGGTTAACTGACCTGAGTTCATCTGTGTTGAGCTGGCTGAGCTTGGCTTTGCTGAGCTGGTCTGGGCTGGATGAACTGGAGGACATGGCACTGGGCCAGTCTTCATGGTCTTGTTGGACTTAGGTGGATAGCCTCAGCTGAGTCCACACTGCATTCCCCATCACTCCCGCCCTCCCTACACCCACCCCCAGGACTGGGTTGTCTGCATGGGGAGACTTCAGGGTAGCTGGAGTGTGACTGTGCTCGGGCAGCAGAGGCTGGGCTGGGGCACCCGCTCCCTGTTGGCTGCCTGTGTGTTGTGTGGCTCCAGGCTTCACATTCGGGAATGCAGCCTGGGCCCTCCAGCTGTGTGTGCTGGGAGTTGAGTGTGCAGCGCCTCTCTGCTGATGCCTCAGGGGAAAGCAGGCCTGGTCTGCCCAAGCCTGAGCCCTCAGCCATTCTGCGCAGGGAGCCAAGGGCAGGCAGGCCTCAAGCACAGCAGGGCAGCCAGATGAATGGTGGCAGGTGTGGCTAGGCCTGCTCCAGAAGACCCTAGGTTGGCCCTGGTGGTCAGCGCTGGGCCCTGCAGCAGGACAGGCTGAGGCGTGCAGCCCCAGCAGCCTTGGACAAGGATCCCAGGCCTCGCCACGGCCCCACCACCCTGTTAGCCGTGGCCATCTGGGCTCTGGAGGCCTGCAGGTGGGCTCGGCCTTGGTGGGGCAGCCACCGTGGGATGCAAGTAGGGAGAAGCCACTCAGAACACCGCTCGGCCGCAACAGACAGGGCGCGAGGAGACCGCGCCTCACCCCTCCCTTTCTGTTTTGTCCTGCGGGTCCTCAGGGACTGCGTCCGCCCCAGCCCTCTTCCCCCTCGTCTCCTGTGAGAATGCCCTGTTGGATACGAGCACAGTGTCCGTTGGCTGCCTGGCGCGGGACTTCCTGCCTGACTCCATCACTTTCTCCTGGAAATACAAGAACAACTCTGACATCAACAGCATCCAAGGCTTCCAATCACTCCTGAGAGAGGGCAAGTACATGGCCACCTCGCAGGTGCTGCTGCCTTCCAGGGACCTCATGCAGGGCACGGACAACCACGTGGTGTGCAAAGTCCAGCACCCTAAAGGCAGCCAGGAAAAGAACGTGCCTCTTCCAGGTGAGGGCTGGGCTCCCCCAGCCCCGGGCAGAGCGGGTGTGGGAAGGGTGGGAGTGGGCCCCGGCTGACCCGTGTCCCTCGCTGCAGTGTTCATAGAGCTGCCGCCCAGCGTGAGTGTCTTCATCCCACCCCGCGACGCCTTCGCCGGCAACCCCCGCACGTCCAAGCTCATCTGCCAGGCCACGGGCTTCAGCCCCCGGCAGATCAAGGTGTCCTGGCTGCAGGAGGGGAAGAAGCTGGAGTCTGGCTTCACCACCAGCCAGGTGGAGGCTGAGGCCAAAGAGTCTGGGCCCACGACCTTCAAGGTGACCAGCACGCTGACCGTCGCCGAGAAAGACTGGCTCAGCCAGAGCGTGTTCACCTGCCGCATGGATCACAGCGGCCTGGCCTTCGAGAAGAACGTGTCCTCCGCGTGCGGCACCAGTGAGTACCCTGTCCCCAAGGGCAGCGCCCACAGACACACGGGGGTCCACTCGGGTCTGGCATTCGCCACCCCAGACGCAGCCACCTGCTCCCTGAGCCTTGGCTTCCCAGAGCAGTCAAGGGCAGGGGCTTGGGCACAGGGCCCCTGGGCTGGGCAGAGGCAGGTGCTAGTCTCTGGGTGGGAGCCATGCCTCCACTCACATCCACACCTGCTCCACCTCTGACACCTTTCTCTTGACTCCAGATCCAGCCACAGGCATCCGCGTCTTTGCCATCCCTCCATCCTTTGCCAGCATTTTCCTCACCAAGTCCACAAAGTTGACCTGCCTGGTCACAGACCTGGCCACCTACGACAGTGTGACCATCTCCTGGACCCGCCAGAACAGCGAAGTTCTGAAGACCCACACCAACATCTCTGAGAGCCACCCCAATGGCACCTTCAGCGCCACAGGTGTGGCCAGCATCTGTGAGGACGAGTGGAACTCCGGGGAGAGGTTCACCTGCACCGTGACGCACACTGACCTGCCCTCACCGCTGAAGCAGAGCATCTCCAGGCCCAAGGGTAGGCCCCTGTCCAGGCCCCGGTCCTGCACTCCACAGCACCCTCCCTCAGCCTGAGGGGCATAGTGAAGAGCGCCCCTCAGGCCCTTACTCACCACCTCTCTGCCCACAGGGGCGGCCCTGCACAGGCCCGACGTCTACTTGCTGCCGCCGGCCCGGGAGCAGCTGAGCCTGCGGGAGTGGGCAACCGTCACCTGCCTGGTGACCGGCTTCTCTCCCGCGGACATCTTCGTGCAGTGGATGCAGAGAGGGCAGCCTCTGCCCCAGGAGAAGTACGTGACCAGCGCGCCAGTGCCCGAGCCCCAGACCCCAGGCCTGTACTTCGCCTACAGCACCCTGACAGTGTCCGAGGAGGACTGGAATGCAGGGGAGAGCTACGCCTGCGTCGTGGGCCATGAGGCCCTGCCCAACAGGGTCACCGAGAGGACCGTGGACAAGTCCACCGGTAAACCCACCCTGTACAACGTGTCCCTAGTCATGTCCGACACGGCTGGCACCTGCTACTGACCCTGCCGGCCTGCCCACGGGCTCGGGGCGGCTGGCCGCTCTGTGTGTGCGTGCAAACTAACCATGTCAATGGGGTGAGATGTTACATCTTAAAAAACTAGAAATAAAAAGATCCATTCAAAAGATACTGGTCCTGAGTGCGCAATGCTCTGGCCTGCTGCACTTCCTCTGCAGACCACCTTCCTCCACAGTCCCCACCCCGCCTCACCCACCTGCGTGCCTCAGTGGCTTCTGGAAGCTCTGAACACCCTGCAGATGCTCACCGCAGGCTGATCTCACACTCGCCATTCCTCCTACTGCTTCTTGAAACAGGGCCGAGAGCAAGGCCACATGAACACAGGCAGCACACATGCACATGTGTGGACACACGTGGACAGACATGGACACACACAGACACACAGGAGCACATAGAGATGTGCTAACCCATGGGCACACACACACAGAAACATGGACACACACAGATACAGGGACAGAGACGTGCTAACCCATCGGCACACACACACAGAAACATGGACACACACAGATACAGGGACAGAGACGTGCTAACCCATGGGCACACACACACAGAAACATGGACACACACAGATACAGGGGCAGAGACGTGCAAATCCATGGGCACACACACACAGAAACATGGACACACACACAGATACAGGGACAGAGACGTGCTAACCCATGGACACACACACACACACACTCAGAAACACGGACACACACAGATACAGGGACAGAGACGTGCTAACCCATGGAGACACACACACATAAACACAGAAATATGGACACACAGACACACGGACACACGTGCAAACATGCCCAGGCACACAAAGATGGCACACCTTGTCTACAGGCACACAAGGACACATACACAGACACACACATGGACACACACATGGACACACAGATGGACATACACATCATGGACACATGGACACATGGACACACACATCATGGAAACACAGAGACACACATGACACACACATGACACACATCATGGACACACAGACACAGATACATCATGGACACATACAGACACACATGGACACACACAGAGACACACATGGACACACATGGACACATACACATGAACACACACATGCAGGACATGCACATACACAGACACACTAGCACAGAGGCATACACCCACAGACAGGCACAGACACACACACATTCACAAACAGGTACATGCACACACAAAAACAGACACAAGAACATGGACATGTGCACACACACACACACACTGACACAGACACGCAGGAACATGCACATATGCAAACATGTAGACACCCGCACATCTACACAAAGACACACAACAGATAGATGGACATGTGCACACAGTCATGCACACACCCACACACACACAAACCCATGCCGGCCAGCCCCGTCCACGTTGTCCTGCTGCCCTGTTGGATGCTCTGTCCCCGCAGCACTCTGCTTCCCGTGCTGTCCTGGCCCCCCCGGGGGCTTCGGGCCCTGGCTCTGCTTCTCCTTCTGTCTCTGCTTGGAGGTGCCACCATGGCACACAGCTTGGACTCTGCCTGGGGAGCGGTGACACCAGGGATAGTGTGACCCTCCCAATGCCAGGCTCTTGAAGAAAGCAGCAGGTGGCTCCCACATGTGTGAACCACTGAGGCCAGGCTCTTGAGGAAAGCAGCAGATGGCTCCCACATGTGTGACCCCCCTGAGGCCAGGCTCTTGAGGAAGGCAGCAGATGGCCCCCACATGTGTGACCCCCCTGACGCCAGGCTCTTGAGGAAGGCAGCAGATGGCCCCCACATGTGCTCGGGAGCAGAACCAGGGCCCGTGCCATGTGCTCAGGCAGTGACTGGACATGTGTCCAGGGGCAGGATGGCTACCCAGCGGCTGCTCCTCTTAGCGGGAGGCCTTGGGAGATGAGCTGGTGCAAGGCTGCCCTGCGCACACCACCTGCCCCAGCCCAGAGCAGGGAGCAAGCCAGGTCCCACTGCAGCAGCCCAGGGAGGTCGGAGCCCAGGCAGGGAAGGCAGGGACCCAAGTCAGGTCTCCACACCCAACAGACAGTGCTATCCCTAACTGGGGCCACCTCTGAGTCCCCACACACACTCTTGGCCCTTTGGGGTCCTGGGCTCTAGGTGTCCCCCAAGGGCCTGTCTGTGCAGGGGATGCAGCACCCACAAATGTCCTCATCCCACTATGGAGCTCAGGTCTCTGTCTGGGTCTTGACAGTTTAGGACAAGCCAGCCAGGATGCAGAATCTGCTCCAAGGGGAGCTGGAGAGCCAGGGCCCTGAGGAGGAGGCAAGGAGGTGAGGAGCGGGCACCTCCCAGCTCAGGCCTCCTGCCTGCGTAGCCCCACAGCACAGGGCAGGACCACACCCCCTGCTTCCCCTGCAGGAGAGTCAGGACTTGCTGGCCATCGCTCCGCTGGCCCCGATCTCCAGCCCCCGCCTTGTGTCTGTGTGCTGCCTGCACTATCTCAGCCACTCCAGGGCTCCTGGGACAAGACCGGGGGGTCCCTTCCCTGTCCAGCCTCAGCCTGTGCCACCCTGCATCAGGCTGTTGGGGACCCAGCCCATGCCTTGGACAGTGCCTGAACCCCTCCACTGGCTCTCCCCACCCCTGGGCGCAGCACAGCCTAGGGGCCAAGGGTGGGCTTAGAGGAGGGGCCCCAGGGCCTGGTGCTGCTGGGTGCCACCCCAGCCTGACCCTACCCCCTCCTGTGCTGTGTCCCCTGCAGAGGGGGAGGTGAGCGCCGACGAGGAGGGCTTTGAGAACCTGTGGGCCACCGCCTCCACCTTCATCGTCCTCTTCCTCCTGAGCCTCTTCTACAGTACCACCGTCACCCTGTTCAAGGTAGAACAGACAGGGCACGGGGGGTGTGGGGCCCAGTGAGCAGCCGGGGCTGGATGTTCATCATGGAAGCTCCCACCAACCCGCTGGGTCACTTCTGCCTGACTCCCTTCCCAACCAGGGGGAAAGTGCTTCACACTGTCTCTGTTGCCCGCAGGTAAAATGATCCCAACCAAAGAACGAAGAACGTCAGAGACCAGAGAGGAACGCAAGGGTGCTGCTCCAGACCTGGGGTCCCCGCCCTCGTGACCCTTGGCGAGTGTTTCTCTTCCCACCCGGCCTCCAGCTGTGTGCTTCAACACAGGCTTCCTTCTAGACGGGCAGGGCTGGCTGGCGAGCAGGTCACCACGTTGGCTCTACCCACACTGCTTTGCTGTGTATACGCTTGTTGCCCTGAAATAAACATGCACATTTTATCCATGAAACGGTTTTCTCATGAGGGATTTTGTTTCTCTTTCAAACCTTTCGTGCTACATGGGCCTCTCAAGGGGGGATCCCAATTCCAAAGGGAGCCATGGGAAAGAGAGCTGGGCCAGCACAGGAGCTTTTAAGGCCATGTGCCCAGGACAGGGGCCACAGCAGCAGGTGGCCCAGACTCAGATTGGGAAGTACTCCTGGTTTCTGCTGAGATGGTTGATTGGATCCACAAGTCACATATCCATTCTCTTTCACAAATGGTTGCCCAGATACCTCCTTGGCCTTCTTTCCCAAGAACACTCCTGGACAGGTGGAGAACTTTCCAACCAGAGCACACTATTGGATAGGCAGAGGATTTTCCAGCTGTTCAAGTTGTAGGTCCTGTTTACTGAACACTTCCTTCTTCAATGAACCTGTCTCCTCTCACATGTTACTATAAGCAGTCAGGAGAAATCAGGTTGTGCCTTCCACACTTTTCTTAGAAATCTCCTCAGCCAAACATCCAAGTTCACCACCTGTAAGTCTTACTTACCACGAAGAGAATGCGATTCAACCAAGTGCTTTGCCACTTTATCACAAGGATCTCCTTTCCTCCAGTTTTCAATAACATGTTCCTTATTTCTCTCTGGGGCCTCACCAGAGGCACCTTTAACATTCATATTTCTAGCAACATTCTGTTCATGACAATTTATGTATTCTCTAAGATGACAGGAGTTTTCTCTACAGCTCTCCTCCTTCTAAGCCCCCCCGGGATCATCTTGAATGTCCAAATTTCTACCAGTAATCTTCAAGGAAATCTAGTTTTTTTCTAACATGCACCTCAAAACTCTTCTTGCCTCTATGCATTACCCTGTCCCAAATTCACTTCCACAGTTTTAGGTATCAATTAAATCAGCACCCCACTTCTAAAGCTAAAATCTGTGTTAGTTTCTTATGAGCTATTGTAACAAAGTACCACAGCCGCATGGCTCAAACAACAGAAATGTATTCTCTCCCAGTTCTGGAGGCCAGGCGTCTGAGATCAAGCCATGGGCAGGGTTGGCTCCTCTGGGTTGGCAGGGAGAACCTGTTCCAGGCATCTGTCCTGGCTTTTGTTGGTTTGCTGGGAATCTCTGGTATTCCTTGGCTTTCAGAAACTGCTCCTCTGTCTCCGTCTTCACCTCCACATAGCATTCTGCCCGTGTGTGTGTCTGCGTCTAGACTTCCCCTTTGCATACAGACACCAGCCACATTGGATCGGAGGCTCACCCTACTCCAGCGTGACCTCATCTTCACTTGATGACATCTGCAAAACTCTACTTCCAAACAAGGGCACATTCTGAGATCCTACGGGTCAGAGCTTCAACATATCCACTTATTTGGAGACACAAGTCAACCCAAAACAAGCCCCATCCCCAGTGTCTCACCAGTGGTGCTGCAGAGGGAGGCCTGGCTGGGCTGACATCCCAGCACCTCAGGGAAAAGTGAAAACAGCCCAGAGAAGTCCAGGAGGTGGCTGGAGGAAGGGAATTAACGACGTGCTGTTGGGGTGGGAGATTCTGAGGGGAGCCACGCATACCGCCGAGGATGTGGAGGGCTGACAATCCTACTTAGAAAATCCAAGGGAAGGATGTAAATGGGGGAAGGGCTGGGTCACCTAGTGTCTGGGAAAGCAGGGTGGCAGGTTCTGCCCCAAGGGAAAAGGGCAGGATGGGGCCACCGCACCAGATGGCCTCATGTACCAGGCGAAAGAAGGGAACACCTGGCCCCCCTGAGCAGGGACAGTCAGTGTGGGGATGGAAAGACAGGGGAGGAGGCAGAGGGAGCACAGAAAAGGCCTCCATTAGACAAAGATGGAGCACCTGGGGCCACCAGGCACCCAGCAAGGACCCTGCACTCGCTCAGGATTGCAGGCCCTTTAAAAGAAAGTGTGCCCACTCCTAATTGAGGTCATTGCTGAGCCAAGAACTTTTCACTGGGGAGAGTATGAGCCAGTGTCTAATATCAATTCAATACTCCTGGAGTGGGACGCTTTTGAGAGTGGAGGTTGCTGATGAGGGAAAGCTCAGTCACCGCTGCCTCCACCCCATCTCCCACCCCCACACTGACTGTCCTGCTCAGGTGGGACCAGGCGTTCCTGTCTTCCGCCTGGTACACGAGGTCATCCGGTGTGGCGGTGGCCCCACCCTCCTGCCTTTCTCCCTGGGCACCCAGGTCTCCAGGAAAGGGAGTCTGAGAGCCAGGCCCAGCAGGGAGCCACACATTCTGGGACCTGCCACCCCTACAGCCTGCTGATCACGAGTGACAGCCCTTACAAGGGGCCAGGCCAGCTCATGGGCTTGTCCCAGCACCAGAGCCCCTGGGCCAGGCATCAGGGACAGGAGAAGCCAATCCCACCAGCTCCTCCTAAGCCACTCAGAGGGCCAGACACAGGGCCCTCTGCAGGGCTATGGCACCCCATGCTCCCTGCAGGGCAGCTGAGGACCAGTGGCTAGGGACCTGGGCAGTGGGGCCACACAGCTCCCACAGCTCCTAGGCCCTCTGCTCCCCAGCTTGAGTGCCCCTCCTCTCCTCAGGGGCCCAAGGGAAGTGGTTCCCAGAGAGATGGGGGGCAACAGGGAAGGTGGAGGGCCCAGGAGTGGCCAGAGGGGCACCAAAGCCTCTGGAGGAAAGACCCCTCCCTTTCAGGGGCTCTGGCAACAGCAGCGCAGTGACCGCAAGGCCACGGGTCCCACTCAGTTATTCTGACTCACATCACAGGAGCGGCAGCAGGTCACTCAGCCCAGCCCTCCTGGACCCCTTTTCCCTAGCTCCCCCACCTGCCTGCTGCCAGGGTCCCCTGCCCTGCCCCTCACCCTGAGAGCCTCCAGCCTCAGACTCCTGCTGTGTCTGTCGTCCAGGGTCTACCCGGTCTCCGGACGTGTTCCCCATCACATCAGCGTGCCAGCTCCCGAAGAATGACAGCTCCGTGGCCCTGGCCTGCTTAATAACTGGGTACAACCCGAAGCCCGTGAGTGTCACCTGGTACCTGGGGACACAGATCCAGCTGCAGAGGAGCTTCCCTGAAGCACAAGGAAAAGCAGAGAGCTACACGACCAGCAGCCAGCTCTCCACCCCTGTCCCCCTGCAGCACCAAAGCAAGTACAAATGTGTCGTCTGGCACGTCCCCAGCAACAACAGCACGGAGAAGACCTTCCGCCGGCCGGGTAGGTCACCCTGGTGATCACCCAGAAAGGCCCCAGGACCCCCACACCTTCCACTCAGGGCCTGACCACAAGGACAGAAGCAAGGACTGGGCCGTGAGGCGGCCCCAACTCCCCTCTCCTCCCACTGTTTGTACCCCCACCGGCCCTCCCCCCTCAGTCCCTCTCCCTTGGCCCCTCTGCTCCCTCTCTCTGCAGCCCCATCTCCCGAAATTCAGATCCTTTTCCTTCCAGACCCTTCCCCCAACTGCATGGAGGCAGCTTGCTCAGCAAAGGTGGTTGTCGAGCAGGGGCCCCCACAACCAAGCTCCCACCCCATGCTGCACCCCTCCCTTCTGCCCCCCTGGCTGCCATGCCCCCTCTTCCTGTCCACAACCCCACCCCTGGAACCCACGTGCCCTCTGCCTTCACCCTCACCCACACTGCTCCTTGGATTTCAGAGTCTTGGAAGGCACAGTCCCCCTCAGTGTCCACCACACCACCCCAAACACCACCCCAAGCAGAGGGCAGCCCCTCCAAGGCAAGCAGAATCCCAGCTGCCACCAGGAACACAGGTGAGAAGCCCTTTCCCTGCACAACCCACCCCACCTACCTGCTCATTCCTCACCTGCCTCCTCGAGGCAACCCTTCACAACTCCTTGTCTGAGTCTCCAAGTCACATGTTGGGTAAGGAAAGGGACGTTGAGCTGCCTCTAACAAACCCCTACCTCCAGTCAGCCCCGGCCTGCGGGCCAGCAGATGCCAAACAGCCACAGACTCCCAGAGCGGACGCAGGCCAGCTCCAGGACTCCCTGGCCCATTGGACCCAGCTCCACACCGCTGAGCTGAGGCGTGGACACATGCGCAGCCTCACAGGGAGCCACCCTGCCAAGGCGGCCCAGCGTGTGGACTCACCAGTCACTCGGGCGGCAGCGGCCCCTCCCCGTGACCCTCGCCTCCCCCAGGCCTGGCTATCTCCAAGTGCTGAGCCCTGGTAGCCAGCCTGCTTCTCCCCCTCACCCTGCCTGCCACCCCAGAATGGTGGAGGAAAGAGAGTCCTCTCCAGGAAGTTTATCTGAGAAGTCCGAGGCTTGTGGCTGAACTGCCTGAGATGGCCACGTGGCCGGGGAGGGGTTCTGTGTTCCAGAGAACCCAGGTACATGCCTGACCCTCTCTGAGCAGGGTGGCAAGTGTTAGGAGAAGTGCAGTGAGGTGGGTACACCCACAGGCAGAATGGCTGTCCCTCACCCACCCTCTGGGGTGTGGTCAAGCTCTGCCAAAGGTATGGCACAGCCATGGTGGCCCCTGCCTGGATGGGCGGTCACGGTGCCCTCACCCTGGGCCAGGATCTGCCTCCACTCTGCAGGTACAGAAACGTGACATTCCCGTCCGTAAACGCTCCTAGCCCCGGGGCTTGGGGTGGCCGATCAGATGCAGGGAGATGGGCCAGAGCCTCCCGTGAGAACCGTGAGGGTAGCCACTCCCTGAGCCAGACACCTGCTTTCGTCCCCCTCCGCCCTTCTCATGGGCAGTGGCAACTCAGCAACTAAATGAGCTGAGTGCATTGGCGGCCAGCCCTGGAGCCCGATCACACCCCACGGCCCCGGTCTGCTTGTGGAGGTGCTTCCCCTGCGCAGCCTCCGAGAGGACGGCCAAGTGCTCTTACTCAGACCACAGCCTCCTGAGTAGCTGGGATTACAGGTGTGCACCACCATGCTCGGGTAATTTTTGTATTTTTAGTAGAGACAGGATTTTGTCATGTTGGCCAGGCTGCTCTCAAACTCCTGACCTCAGGGCCAGAAGAATTGCTTGAACCAGGGAGGCAGAGGTTGCAGTGAGTTGAGATCGCACTGCTGCACTCCAGCCTGGGCAACAGAGTGAGACTCTGTCTCAAAAAAAAAAAAAAAGAAAGAAAGAAAGGAGGAGAGGGAAGGAGAAGGGAAGGGAGGGGTCTAAAGGTTTAGCTGAACAGATAAATCCACTAGAAAAAAATATTGGGGGGATACTCCATGACACTAGTCTGAGCAATGATTTTTGGCATGACCCCAAAAGCTCAGGCAGCCAAAGCAAAAATACACAAATGGGATCATGTCAAACTAAAGGGCTTCTGCACAGCAGAGGGAACAGTCAACAGCGAAGAGACGGCCTATAGACTGGGAGAAAATTATTTGCAAACCTACAACTGAGAAGTGACTGGTAACCAAAATGTATAAGGAACTCAGACAACTCAGTGGTAAGAAAACAACTCAATTTAAAAATGGGTAAAGTATCTCCGTAGACATTTATTAAAAGGAGACCTATAAATGGCCAACACGCACATGAACAAATGTTGAGCCTCACTAACATTCAGAGGAATTCAAATTAAAACCAGAATGGATATCATCTCACAGCTGTTGGGATTCCTACCACCAAAAAGACAAAACGTCACAAGTGTTGGTGAGGGTGTGGAGAAAGCAACCCTGATGCACGTGGGAGTGCAGCTAGCACAGCCGCCATGGAAAGCAGGACCGAGGCTCCTCAGAAAACGAAAAACAGAACTACCATACCACCTGGCAATCCCACTGCTGGGGACGCAGCCGGAGAGAAAGAAGACACTGTTTAGAAGAGACGTCTGCCCTCCCATCTCCTGGCAGCCCTAGTCACGAACACCAAGATGTGGAACCCACCTAAACCCCCCCAGCAGACGCACGGGTGAAGAAAACGTGGCACGCACGCACAGCGGATACTATTCAGCCTTTAAAGAGTGAAATCCTGTCACTGACAACAACGCGCATGAGTCTGAAGGACACTTCTGCAGAGTGAAGTCAGCCAGGCACAGAGACAGCAGCCCGCAGGATGGCACCTGCGTCTGGAGTGCTGAAAAGGCAAACCCTTAGACGCAGAGAGCAGAGTGGGGGTCGTCGGGAGCCGGCCCGTGGCTGCGGAGATGCTGGTCAAAGGACGCAGAGCCTCAGCCGGGACGAATGAGCTCAGGACGTCCCCTGTGCTCGGGAGCTGAAGTTAGTCACAATGGGCTGTATTCTGGAAAAGCACTAAGAAAGCAGATTTTCAGCGTTCTCGCCACAGGAAGTGACAAGCATGTGAGCTCAGGCCTGGGCATCCGCTGGATTGAGCCGTTCCACAATGGACACAGATTTCAAATCATGGTGTCGTACATGATAAATATCTATAATTTTTGTCAATTAAAACAATTTTAACAGGAAGAGAAGAGAAGGAGGAGGAAGAGGAACAAGAGGGAGAGACGAGAGTCCCTGGTTTTCTTCTCTGGACCATCACGCCTGTGGCCCCGTCACTAGTTGGCCTAAGCTACTGAATCGAGTGCTGCTGTGTGGACGGGTCCTGAACGCTTAGAAACTCGTGACCACTGAGGGCCCCCACGAGGACAGTCAGGGTCCACCTGGAGCCAGAAGCCCACTCAGGGAGCACTGAGGAAGAAGCTCTTAGACTCGCAGGGTGTCTCAGGTCGCTCGGAGGGCTGTGCCGCGCGGGTCGGGGTGCGGTGAGGGAGGGTCCCAGGCTTGGTGGGCGAGGTCAGGCAGCCTCTCTGCCCCTGGCCAGCATGTCCCCCGCACTGCCTCCTCCCCATTGCCCCCCATGGGCCACACCTGTCCAGAAGCTGGGGAGAGGAGAGCACCGTGGAGAAGTCAGTCCCTCTGTGCAGAGGGCACTCCAGCCATCTCCCCAGAGAGGCTGATGGAAAAACCCAGCCTGCGGGTGAGTCCCGCCTGGCAGCCACAGCGCAGAGAGCTCTGGAAGCCTCAAAGGCCCACATCTGCTCAGGGGAGAACCAGCAGCAGCCCTGGGCTGGACCAAGAGCCGCACTGCCCATGCCCAATGGGCCTTTCCTCACAGATCTGACCTCCTCCCCCACCTCCCCGCAGCTGCCCAGGCGCCCGTCAAGCTCTCCCTGAACCTGCTGGCCTCATCTGCCCCTCCCGAGGTGGCCTCATGGCTCCTGTGCAAGGTGTCCGGCTTCTCGCCCCCCGATGTCCTCCTGACGTGGCTGCAGGACCAGCACGAGGTGAACCCTTCTTGGTTTGCCACGGCGCACCCCGCCCCACAGCCCGGGAGCACCACGTTCCAGGCCTGGAGTGTGCTTCGTGTCCCGGCCCCACCTAGCCCTCAGCCAGCCACCTACATGTGCAAGGTCCATCACAAGGCCTCCCAGACTCTGCTCAACGCCAGCCTGAGCCTGGATGTCAGCTGTGAGTCACCACCAGGCCCAGGGCTGGGAGGGGGACTCTGTGGGGGGCCACAAGGAGCTGGAATCCACACTGGGCAGGGGTGGGGCGGGCCAAGGCTGCCCAGGGCACACAGGCCCCTTCTCGGTGTCTGGCAGGAGTGCAGGGTTCCCAGTGGTCCTGGGCCACAGATGTCCCTGTGCCCATCCTCACTGTCCACACCGTGTGCTGGCCCAGGCTGGCCAGCACAGTTGAGAGGTAGATCCGACCCCTGGCTGTGCCCAGAGGAGCTGTGGTTTCCTGCCAAGATGCTCTCCATGGCTGGGTGCTGGGCACAGGCCTTCCCTGTGTGAACGTGAATGTGGTGGCCCGAGCAGCTGCTCTCCCTGGGGACGTCTGACCATCCAAGAGCACAGTCAGCGCTTCTGGGAGCCAGAGGCGTCTTCAGAGACCCCACATGTCAAGTTTGGGCTCAGAGCCCAGTGAAAGGCCTGCCCCGCACATGCCCATAGTGGGCACCGACCACGCTGCTCGGAGGCACAGAGGGAACAGGCCCCGGAGTGATGGCCCCTAGCCTCCTGCCAGGCCAGGCCCACCCTTGGCCGCCCCCTTGAGGCATGGCACCCAGACCAGTGCCCCACCCCCACCTGAGCATGGCCCAGGCTGCACACACAGCAGGAGGGTGCCTGCCCAGCTCAGGCCTGCTGCCCAAGCCCCAGCTGCCCAGCCAAGGGAGGTGCAGGAGGCCCCCGGCGTGAACTGGAGCCAGGCGCCCATGCCCCTGGGCTGCCCTGCAGAGCCAGAGAAAGGAAGACATCCGAATCAACAGAAGGCAGGGGCAAGGGCTGTCCCAGGCTCTGCTGGCTCTGGGGTCTCCCAGCAGCCCTGACTCCTGGCATGGGCCTTCCCCCAGAGTGGCCCTGTGAGGTGGCCTCACAGAGGACAGTGTCTGACCTCTGTGTCTGACCCTGCCTGCCTCACACAGGTGGGCCCCACAGCCATGGGTGCCCCACCTGACCCTGCGGGGGCCCCCATCCCCCTGCAGCAGCAGCTGCGTCTCAGTCCCTCAGCCTCCCGTCCCCCTGAGAGGGTCTCCCCTGAAGCTGCAGCCCCAGCCCACCACTGCCCACCTGGGGCTGAGACTCCCTGTGCACTGCCTCCTCCCCGTCAGGGCACCATCTGTGCTGTGCCCCAAACTTGGCCTACAGCTTCCCATCCTTGCCATGGCCTCCTGACCTTGCCTGCCCGCCCTCCGCCACAGGCTCCACACTGACCCCTCCAGCCTCCCACACCCAGCTGGGGGCCATCCCCAGGCACAGGAAGTCTGGGACCTCACAGGCGAGCCTAGACCATCACCTGGCCAGACCCAGGAGAGGCTGGCGGCTGCCCTGCCACCATGCCTCAGGCCCCAGGCTACAGTCCTATGGGTGTGTGTGTGTGCATCATGTGTGCCCATGTGCACCCGGGATACCCAAGCGTGCCCTTGTGCCCCCAACACAAGTCTCCCTCCCAGGCAGTGAGGCCAGATGCTGCAGTGGTTAGAGCCAAGGCTTATCCCACAGAGGACTCTGGCACCTTGGTCCAAGGGATCCCCTGTGCCTTTCCTGCCTCGATTTCCCCTCTTGTCTGCTGGGCCAGCAGGAACCACGTCCTGGACTGCAGTGAGGAGGAAGTGAGCTGGTGCTGGGAGGGGCTCCTGTGTGCACATGGGCAGGAGCACCCCGGCCCTCACCTGAGAGAGAGGGACAGGAGCTCCCTGGCCCGCCCAGACCACACGCCCGGTGTTCCAGGTGTTTCCCATTATCTATGGCAGAGGACCCAGCTTCTTTCTGAATTTCCAATTCTTCATGGAGCAATGCCTTTGTAAGATGCAGTAAGAATTACTAGAAAAATGATATGAACAGAAAGACACACCGAATTTTTGTTATTAGATTTAACAGACCGTGGCCCCGTGACAAGGCGCCTGGACCAGATCTGTCCGCAGCAGCCACTCAGCAGCTCTGGCTGAGCTCACCGCACAACACAATAAACGCTTGTTGAATGAACACTAGGAAACCTGTGGCATGGCTGCTTCTTGTCGCTGTTTCCTGCCTGCCCACGGGCTCTTCCTCGTAGATGGGGCTGTGCTCGCCAAGGAAGTGTTTCTCCCGGCCTACGCTTGCCTCGGGCCCCTCTGCCATCTCCAGCCAGAGGGAACAGTCTATACGTGCATTTGTTCATACCAGACCCTTGCTTAGCCCCTTCCACTGCCCCTTCCTGCTGCTGCGATAGAATCACCCTGCCTGGACCTCCCCTCCTGGCCCCTCCTGCCCTCCTGGGTCAGCCCCCAGGTCAGGGCACTCACTGATCCCCCCAAGGAGAAGCCACGCTCTGCTTGCTGCCCAGCCATGTCTCGTCTTCCACATACTGTCTTCCTAGGGAAGGTCTCCATGTGTGCAGACTGCCTAAGAGCCCCCGCCCTCCATCACCCTTGTCACAGGAGCCCAGTCCACAAGAGTCTGTGGTTCCATCTGCCTGCCCCACTCAGGGAAGTGTCCAGGGGATGTGTCCAGGCAGGGAAGACACTGTGGGCAGAGGCTTGTCAGGGGGACAGATGGGGGAGAGAGTGGGAGCTCGCTGGAGACAGCCATACCTTCTGGGGAAGATGCGCTGTCAGCTCAGCTCCAGCCTGTGCAAGGTGGGCAGAGAGGCAGCCTGGCCCTCAGGACCAGGGAGCTTCTCACTCGGCCCCTGTTCCTCCCCAGACCTGGCCACGACCCCCCCGATCCCTCAGAGCGAGGATGAGAACAGCGATGACTACCCGCCCGCGGATGACGTGGGCAGCCTGTGGACCACGCTGTCCACGTTCGTGGCCCTGTTTGTCCTCACCCTCCTCTACAGTGGCATTGTCACCTTCATCAAGGTCAGGGGAGCGGCCGGGCCCTCAGTGCCCCTCGGAGTGGGTATGGGGCCCTTCCAGGGAACACGCCAGAGCTCGTTCAGGGATCCTGGCCCAGGCAGAGGCAGAGCTGAGGGATCCTAGAGGACGTGCAGGCCATCCATGGGCTGAGGGCCCTCTGTCTCCCCTGCCTCTGCACCAGGCTGCCAGGCCCCTGTCTGACCCCAGGGGCTCTCTTGCAGGTGAAGTAGCTCCAGGAGAGCAGGATGCCCTGTACCAGCAGGAAAAGGAAGCCTCTGTGCCTCACCCGTGGCTGCCAGAAAGCAGAGAGGACCTACCCTGGACTCTGCTGCGTGCGGGAAAATGCTCCAGCCCCTGCCCCCAGCTCTGCTCTGTCTGCCACAGAACCCAGTCTTCCAGACCAGGGGATGGGCGCCCATCACTCCATGGCAAGGCAGAGCACCCCTGCCCTGGCCCTGACCCCGGTGCCTCCTTCCTGTGCTTCCCCAGAGCCAGCCAGTCCCAACTGCAGTCCCCTGGCTTCCCCATAAACACGCTTTGGTTCATTTCACCTGTCTCCTGTTCTTTGTCCCAGCGGTCTGAATTCACCTCAAATTAAAGGACACGGGGAGCTGAGGACAATGGGGACGGAATTGGGGCATCAGCAGCAACAGGGAACACGGCAGCCAGCTGTCACGGCAAGGAAAACCAAGCGGAGACCCTGCTCTGAAGTTAATGGGCTAAGAAACCCTCCTCCCCACACCAAACACAAGCATACACAGTCACCTGTACATGCACACACATGCACACAAGCGCCTACACACACGCACACAGCTCACAAATAAGCACAGAGCCACACACATACACACAAGCATCTATGCACACATGCACATGCACACAGCTCACAAATAAGCACAGAGGTGCACACATGCACACAAGCGTCTACACACACATGCATATGTGCATGGCTCACAAATAAGCACAGAGGCACACACATGCGCACAAGCGTCTACACACATGCATATGTGCACGGCTCACAAATAAGCACAGAGGCACACACATGCGCACAAGCGTCTACACACACATGCATATGTGCACGGCTCACAAATAAGCACAGAGGCACACACATGCAATGCACACATGCAATGCACATATGCAGCTGCACACCTGCAAACATGCAGCACAACCACACACATGCACACATAGGCAGGTGCATAGGCATGGATACACATGTACACAGGCATGGACACACACAGGCATGGACATACACAGGCATGAACACACACACACAGGCATGGACACACAGGCATGGACACACACACAGGCATGGACACACACAGGCATGGACACACACACACAGGCATGGACACACACACACAGGCATGGACACACACAGGCATGGACACACACACACAGGCATGGACACACATACACACAGGTATGGACACACATACAGGCATGGACACACACACACAGGCATGGGCACACACAGGCATGGACAAACACAGGCATGGACACACACACAGGCATGGACACAGGAACACAGGCATGGACACACACACACAGGCATGCATGTGCAAGTCTGCAGACACACACATCTACATACGCACACATGGACTCACACCTGCACACACACGTGCACACAGGCATCAAAGACACACATGCTCCTGACATACACACAGACATGCACATTTACACAGGCACACACCATGAGAAGATGGCACCAGAACAGACTTGCATGTGGAGCCCGTTCTGTGTCTCTGCCTGCACCTCTTACTGTCTGCATGCTGTGGGCAAGAGCCTGAACCCCCGTCCCTCCATCTCCTCATCAGAATGGGGTGAAAATGCACCTGTCAGATAGGGTGGGGTGAGAAGTAAATTAAAAAAATAAATCCCATCTGAAAGGGGCTCAGCAGGGACCCGGCTATTGGTCGGCCGTCCTGGTACCATCTGCTGTGGGCTGAACATTTGTGTCCCACTGAAATTCATACATTCACAAATTCATACATTTCCCCCTGAAATCCCAACCTCCAATGTAATGAATTAGAAGATGGAGCTTTTCTGGGGCAATGAGGTCAAAACTGGTGTCCCCATGAAGAGGATTAGCACCCTTATAAGAGAAGCCAAGAGAGCTCCCTCACTCTCACTCACTTGTAAGGAGATGCCTTCTGTGAACCGGGGAGCAGGCCTCACCAGACACCCATCTGCTGGAGGCTTCATCTGGGACGTTCGGCCTCCAGAACAGTGAGAAATAAGTTTCTGTTTTTTCTAAGCCACTACGTCTGTAGTGTGTGGAAGTCATCGGGATCAAAATGGAGTCACCTGTATTTCAGAAAAAAAAAAGAAAAATTCCTGACAAATAAAGCCTGGGAAGGCCAAGAAGAGAAGAGAGTTCTTGTGCACAAACACTTGACAACAAGAACTATCGCAAAGGACTCAGCAAAACTGCGACTGGCACAGAGGCCATCACAACCGCACACAAAAAAATGCTTCTGGGAGGACCTGCACAAGCTCAGACCGGTGTCGCCTTTGTCACTGATCCTTGTGGCCAAGGGTCATTACCTCAGAACGATCATGTAATCCTCCTGCTTCTTCCTGTGAAAGCCCCGGTCTCCCTCTGCCTCCCTGAATACACACTTAGTTCACTATGGCACACGTCCCATGGCAATGCTCGATTCCCAAGTAAATACCTTTTCCTTTTAGAGAGCTTCTCTCTGTTATTTAGGGTGAGATAAATGGAGTCAGAAGTGGGATGTGGAGCGGGATCACTGCTGGAAGAAGTCGGCAATTCCCGGGCCGGCGTGTAGTCTTCACCTGAGCCTTTTTCGCGCTCAGCTTCCCCGGCCCCCTTTTTCCGACCTACTCAGTCTCCTCTCAGGCCAACCCTGCCTCTTTCTGGAAGATGCTTTTTTAATACTACTTGGAGTTTGTTTTGCTTATAAGACTACCTTAACAAAGGACTTTACATCCCTCCTGCGATGAGAAAAGACTTTTTGCCCTTTCTGGCAAGTCCTGTTTGGCCTGAAGACGCTCTGGTCCGAGCACTCTGGTTTCACAGAGTCTGCACTCTGTCTCTGAGGGATGTCTTCTCTGGTGCGGTGACCGGTTCTTTCTGCGTGCCTCCTTTAATATGTTGTCGGATCTGCGTGCCTGGGTTGACTTTTTTGAGAGCACCCTTATCTGACGTCTTCTGCTGTGGTTACATATATCTGTAAATGATTCTGCTCTTTTCCTCTGCTTCTTTCTAAAAGTCTTTTCAGAACAAAATAAATATTGTAAATGGTGGGCACAGGCTGGCTCGTTAAAGCTGGCAGGGCACCATCTAAAGCACCCGTCCGAACTGCCAGCGTGGCCTCATCAAATCTGTAGAATGTTCTTTACTGTCAAGGGATTAATGAGAAGGGGAATGATTTTTAAATATCAAGACATGCCAAGTTTTCTGGGACTCCAGCTGGCTACATATTATGGCTCATCCTTGTGCACAGTTTTTAACTAATGGGCAAATTATATCAAGGAAAATTTAGAGTTACAGACTAATCTGGCTGGATGTGACGGCCCACGCCTATAATCCCAGCACTTTGGGAGGGCAAGGTGGGCAGATCACTTGAGGTCAGGACTTTGAGACCAGCCTGGCCAAGACAGCAAAACTCCATCTCTACTAAAAACACAAAAATTAGCCAGGCATGGTGGTGTGCACCTATAATCCCAGCTACTTGGGAGGCAGAGGCAGGAAAATCACTTGAACCTGGAAGGCAGAGGTTGCAGTGAGCCAAGATAGCACCACTGCATTCCAGCCTGAGCAACAGAGCGAGACTCCATCTCAAAAAAAAAAAAAAAAAAAAATGAATTTAATACTGCTGGTTTAGTAAAAACAGCTGTATCTTCTGAGTTATCGACAAAATACCCATACACTTAACTTTCTCACTTAAGTGAACATCTGATAGTCACAGGGTATAAAAATGGTTAAAATGGAAATAACTTTAAATGATGACTAGCTTTATCTAATATCTCAATTTTCATAAGTAATCTAGGTAAATTGTTTAAAATAAATTAATTAAGCCTGGTGTCACAGCACACGCCTGTAGTCCCAGCTGCTCAGGAGGCTGAGGTAGAAGGATTGCTTGAACCCAGGAGTTCAGGCCTCCCTGAGCAATTCCATAAGACCCCAGTCTCCAAAATAAATAAATAAGATAAATGTAAAGAAATAAATGTTTATAAATAAACTGTTATATAATTTAAAATCTTAAAGTTATGTTATCTTTAGTTAAATAATAGATATTCATTAAATGTCTGGGCCATTTCCAAATAAGATTTTGAAAACTAAAACAAATTACTGAACCTAAATGTTTATTCTTGGCTTCTTAAGTTTTATAGAAATTTTATAGAAAGACTAAATTTATTTGGATCTATTAATATACATAAAAACTATGTTATGGTAAAACATGCTTTTAAAAATTACAAAATTGTTCTCATCTATAAAATAGTGATATGTGGCAAATGTTTAAAACTTGCTTGCTAGAAATTAAGGTGACCAAGAGTTAAAATTCTAATTAATATATATAATTCTGTCTACAAAGTACACCACAAAAAATAAGACATTTTTTATTTTTAAAAATTATAAGAAAGTCATTTACAACTTATTTTTATTGCAAAAAAAATTTTGTCTAATTTGGAGTTTGTTTAAAGGCTGTTTCAAAGCATAGATTTAGGAAATAAATAAAAACAAGATAGAAAAGGACCACTCTCATCTGCTGCCACATGAGACATGCCTGCTTCCCCTCCACCATGACCGTGTTTCCCAAGGCCCCACAGCATGTGGAGCTGAATTTAATCTACAAATAGAGGTGAGCAAGGACTTTAAGGTACGTGGACAATAATACGCTTTGCAGCATAAAGACCTGAAAACAAACTACATGCTCCTAAGTAGGAAATTGTTTCAATAAACCACAGAACATCCAGTGGAAAACTCCACAGCCACTGAAAAAGAATGAAGGAGGGGCTATCATCAATATTATGGCTTCCAATAGCATCTGTCCATGGTTTCAACTCATATCTGTCCCTAAATGTGCACTTTTATTCCAGGCGTTGGCACTGGCAGTCAGCTATGTGCCTCCTACTAAAGACATCAGTGGGAAGTAGGAAAGCTCCTTTTTGAAGTTTCCTTTCTTCTTAAAGAATAGGTGTGCTCATAACTTTGTGAAGCCCTTTCCTATGCAGCTGTTGGACATGCCTTGCTTACAGGCACATAGTACATTCTATGTCCTTGTACTTTAACCACGATGTCTGTGCTGGACGTGCTCACAGGCGTGTCCCAGCTCTCCATGGCTCTTACCCGTTTAGAAAAGTGTTAAGTTGTTAGCCATCGGGTTTTAGTTTACATTATGAAGTCTGGCTCCAGCCAGTGGAGATCAGACACAGCAGTAAGGACGACCTCAAATACATAAGGAATAAATTTGTGTGTTTTCCTTTGTTCATTGTACTCTTGTGGCACGATGGCTAGTGAGGGTCCCCTTCCTACAGTCCAGGAAGTAAAAACTGCGTTGCTGAAAGATCCTTTGTCTCAGTGCTGAT